GCCCAGTGAGCTAAACAAATGATAATCCAGCGAGCTACAGATCTCTTTTCCTGAAAGTCCCGTCGAGAGTCTTGCTGATAACCAGCGTCTGTTTTGAAAGGGCCCGCAGGCTTTCCCGAGCTGGGAAAGGTTTAGCGTTCTTCTAGCTTATCTTAGCTTCAATGTTTTTTCCGGTAGTTTTTCCTGGAATCCTGAAGAAGCGGGCCCTGAAGCGGTAAGGGATGATGCCTGAGACATCCTAAGGTCCTAAAACAAAAATCCTATAATACTTGTCCTAAACCCTAATTGAACCCTAAACTCTACTGAAAGGGGTGTAGGGTTCAGGTTTAGGGCGAACAGCCTTGCACCCTAAACCCTAAACAATAACCCCTGAGCCTAAACCCTACTCACTGCAAGCCGAATTGTCCCCCACCTGTCCCGCGGGTGCTCCGGAGCACGGCGCTGCTGCTAAGCTGCCAAGCGACCTGGCAATTAGAGCTTACTTGGAGGTTCATGGGTAGATATAAGTGGAGCTATAAGTCCCCTAATGGGGGTTATATGTATATTATAGTTACCCTACTTATGACCCCACTTCTAACTACCCATGAACCTCCAAGTAAGGTTTGGGATTTAGGTTTAGGGCTTGGTGCCAAACCTTAGCCTTAGTTCTCCTCAGGCCCCCAGAGCTCCCAGAGGCCCCCAAATCACCCGCAGCAGCCAACAGAAAGGGAAACCTCCAACATCTTCTATGAGGGATTCACAACCGATCTATATGGGGTACATCTTGTGTGAGGGATTTTCCAGCGATCTTTAGGGGCTGTATAAAGGTCGGATAAGGGATCTACATGCAAAGATCGGGCAGGACTTTCAGGGTTAGATACCGGTTCGAGATATAAGGGCACTATGAGGGTTCTGTAAGGGAAGTACTGAAGTCAACCTTTCGGACACCTTCAAACTTGGGAACCCTTGGCGTCTTTTTCGTCCATGCGTGATTTGGAGAACCTGATCGATGCATACTCAGCAGATCGCATATGAAAGCCGTCTGGTCACCTTCTCCTGTGCGAGATGTCAGTCAGACGCTTCAAAAACGGTGGGGTCTCTGCTTCAGAGGTCTGTGATTCTCTAAGGCCTCTAAGGCCTGGAAAGCACACCTTCCCCCACAAACAACCCCGCTTAGCTCAGGGTTTTAGTAGGGTTTAGGGTTTAGGGCTCAGGGTTCAGGGGTTAGGGCTGAGGGGTGAAGCCCCGAGACAAAGAGCCTGGATCCCCACATGCAATGCTGTAAAGTCCTGTAAAAACATTCGAAGATAAGATCTGCTTAGGCCCAATCAAGGCGCTCACAGGCCTACCTTGCAACCCCTCTCTTTGGACCCGAAACCCCCCATGTTGGCCTCAGCTCAGGAAGCACCCGGCCTGCTTAGGCCGCACCCACCCTTACTAAGGTGCCTGGACCCAGAACTGTACCCGGCAGCGAG